AATCAACAAAAACATGCTGAAAAAACAAGAAGGCAAAGAAAACAAAACACAGCACGAAATTGTTCTAACACAAGGAACAACATACACAGCAACAGTTTAAATCCTCGTAATCATCGGAACATGAATTCCGACAACGGTTACAGTGCCAATCACAGAAACATTTTCGGCCACCGGAGCATCATTCTACATAACGACCAGGATATCATTAACATCAATAACAAAAACAACAGTTCCTATCAGATCACCGGTTAATTATCAACCTGCGATGCAGTTTGAAAAAAGGGAAACTATAAACTCGTACCCAGTAACCGGTCTTCCTCCACATCGTGTCAGCCGTGCACATGTAGACATGCGTGTTTTCGGCACAACTGACGCACTCACCTAAGGTGAATATGACAACACAGCTGAGCCCGAGGATCATGGCATCTCACATAACTTGAGGGATTTTGGACAGTATGCATCAACTTCACCCCCTTACCAGCACGACGTAAGTGACCATGTCGCTAGTTTATCAAGTAGCTCTTTTTTAAGTGTCTATTGCCAACATTTTAACCGTATGCGTAGTGCGTATAAAATAAATGAAATTCGAAATAAAATAAGCGTCTGCACATATGATATAATAATTGGAACATAAACTAGTTGGTCTGACAGTATTAATAGCGAAGAGGTCTTTGGTAGTAAATTTAGTGTATTTCGATGTGACCGCGATTTATCATTATCAGGAAAAAATCAGGTGGTGGTGTACTTATTGCTGTGAATGCTACATTTCAATAGTCCCAATATTTAAATCTGGCAAACGGTCAGACGGTTTGAAGCAATTGTTAACCAGAAAATATTTAACCAGGTTAAGCATCGCATTTCAAATAATCGACATGGTTTTTTTTTAAAGGTCGGTCAACGTCTACTAATCTTTTGGAATTTGTAATTTTTCTATTGAATCAATGGATAGAGGTAATACCGTTGAAACCTTATACACTGACTTTAGTAAGGTCTTCGACAGAGTGGACATTCCCTTACTTCTTTTTAAATTAAAACGTTTAGGTATGACAAGTACACTTTTAAAATGGATTGGATCATACTTGACAGAAAGAATACAGATGGTCTGCTTTAAAGGAAAAATGTCCTCGCCAGTTAATGCTGCCTCGGGAGTTCCACAGGGATCTCATTTAAGTCCTTTATTATTTATTTTATTTGTGGATGACGTGAAGTTTGGGTTAAATCGCTTAAATGTGCTCATATATGCTGACGATACGAAACTGTACATGGAAATCTTTAACAATTCTGATTTGCTACATTTTCAAAATGAAATTGATGTTTTCTACAATTGGTGCGCTAAAAGTCTGCTGGACTTTAATGTAAAAAAAAGCAATATTATATCTTATTCCAGAAAACACGCTACTCTAGATTTTACATGTACTCTAGGAAGCCAGCTGGTTTGAAGGTGCGATAAAATTAGGGACTTCTTGTAATGCTTTACTTGAAGTTGACATTTGAAGATCATGTGAATACCACAATTCACAAAGCAAATAGTATGTTGGGATTCATTAAAAGGTTTATTTATCATTTTAAAGACCCATATACCATCAAAACGCTTTATATAGCTTACCTGAGATCAATTCTGGAATATTGCAGTGTGGTTTGGGCTCCATACCATGAAACTTATTTAAATCGTATAGAATCAGTTCAAAAACAGTGTTTGTTATTTGCTCTTAGGAAACTAGGCTGGACCTCTTTTCCCCTTCCTTCTTATGAGTCCCGTTGCATGTTGATAAACATTGAAACACTTAAGAAACGAAGAGACATTTCCATGATTTCCTTAGCAATCTTTATTTAGCAAGCTTAAATTTTTACGTACGATCACGCTTGTTAAGAACTCGAAATGTATTTCGAACGAACGTAACACAGAACGTATTATGGTAAAAATGCCCCGTAACGTGGGTAGATCACCTTTTCGTCGTACGTTACGGGATGTAAGATCTACCACCGATTCCTAGTCCTGACTTCTTCAAACTAGGGGAACAGGTTTTTTTCAGTAATCAAAGGAACACATCTTAGTCCTTGTTACTTTTTATGCCTTGTTGATAGTGATAAGTCCTCGGGTTGCCTGGACCTAGGATGATCTTGAAACAAGGAAAAAATGAGTTAGTTAGTATTCACCTATGTATGTGATTCCTAATCTTCTATTCGTTGTTCCCTAGTTTGAAGTGGTTAAGACTAGGGTTCTGATGCATGGTCATTATCGGTTTCATAGCTTGTTTTTGTTGTTAAGGAATCCAATTTTGACTGACAAAGGGGCGCGCCTTTGGAGGGTGTTTCAACACTCCGAAGGGTATAAATAGCGGAACCTTTCAGTTAGAATCGATTCCGTGCGATGAAGGCAAGAATGACAACTGTATCAAAACCGAATACTTCATCATTTCTCAATAGTGATGGAGTAAAACGACATGCACTAAACTAAGGACACGGGATATACTACAATAGATCAAATTACTGGTCGCATGTCCCGAACAGAGGAAAAAAAATGTACTGGGCTTGCACGGTAAAACGAAAGATTTGCTGAAAATTCAGTTTAAATCTGGTGAATAACCGACGTTCTGTAAAACACAAACTGAACTTCGGTATCGTTTGATGCAAAATACTGTACACAGAATATATATTTACTGAGATAGTCGTTAATTCCCAAATTTTTGAGATTTCACGAAAAGTCAGTAAAAATAATTACTGTGCACAAAGAAGTCTTATTTTTTTACTGACTGGTCAGAAAAATAGCCACCTTGTTTTACTGACCACGAATTGTAAAACTCTAACCTGTCAATTTCATTCCCGCCGCCATTTAGCATCAGTAAAATCCGGGAGCAAGTGTTTTATCGCGCAGTTTTGTGAAAATTTGAAATAAAACATGAACGACGGAAAGTATTGATGGGGGTTGGAAATATAACAACTACCTACGGGTGAAAAGTTTCTCCGTACTTTGGATTGATTTTATGGTTGTTGTTGTTTCTTATCAGTATCCTGAAAATTTGAGAAAAATAAAATGCAATTCAAAATAAATGCAATAAATGGTTTTCCTCCCGGGTATCTTATTATTATTAAAATTAAATAGTTTTTTTCTCCTGACAAAACTTTTAATATAACTGGGTAACACGGTACAAGAATGAACAAAATAACTGTCTTGTCAGTTAAATTGCAGCAAAATAAACGAAAAAAAAAATACTGGGTTTTCCAGTATATGCAACTCGAACCAATTACTGAATAAACAGTTACTTTTGACAGATTGACTTTACGGACAGTTCGGTAATGCAAATTTTTGCTGTGATGATTACTGGGCGATCCGCAATTCAAAAACCCAGTAAAATTTTACTGACTCCAGTAATCTAAAGTTAGTGTGTGTAGTCTACATTTATTGAAAATTTCAAATAAAACGTATGTTTTAAAATAGCATGTAAGGCAACAGCACTACTGTAAAACGGTCAACACTGATTGACGACAAAATAAAAAATCAACTGAGATATTAAAAGTTTTATAAAACTTGCCATATTAGTATCACATTTTAAACATTCGTTCACAAGATATTTTTCATCATTTTTCCTCGATCGGTACTAATCAATTCAATCTTTTCCTGGTCAATGCTATTATTTTTATTGTACTATAGTACATAAAACATGAAATTTGAAAAAAAAATACATGATTTTCTTAATGATTTTTTCCAAAAAAAAATGCGTAAGTGATCGCAAAATGTCATCAATTATTCAAAATTAACATCAAATAGACTTTAATTCCTAAAAATATTTGAGATAGGTATTTGGATTTAAATCAAATAATATGTTTTATTTAAATTAATACAGCAAAACTATTCTGTTGCTTTTCAAAATTAAAAAAAAAAATTATCAATTTTGATCAAACGAGATTGTGATTGGAAAAAATATGCACAACAACGTTGTTCAAGACCGCAAATTTACTGGACTTCTGGCAAAAAGTTATCAATCATTTTCTTTTGACCTACTGCAACAAAAAGTCCCAGTATGCACGTAATATAGCCAAAGAAGAAGAAGATGATGTAGCAACAAGCATACGTTTACAAGTCTCAACCGAATTCCATCTCACTAATTTGAAAAAAATAATTAGTTGATGAAGTCGTGTTGCCAAAAACGGGAAGGCACTGTATACTATATTAACAATATAGTTCACTCTTCGATTATCCAAGAAGGGAAGAGAAACTTCGTGTTTGACACACCGCCTAACGTCAGAAAAGTAAACCAACATGCATTTGATTACAGTCGAGGGGTGAGCGAGCTGCAATTATTACATATGAAAAAATATACTTTAATTTAACAACATTAATTACAATCAGGGAAAAGTTCTGCAAATTGCCTCGGCCTGTAGATACGGTAGATACCTATGGTAACACGAAAATAATTGTTTAAACAAGTTTCTCTGTTGTAGCTTTGAAGCATTCAGTTGCCTTTGTGCAATTGAAAATTGTGTCTCCGAAAATAACAAAAGAGTGGACTATATTGTCACAAGAGTCCCCTACCTACGCACACCGGCGGCCATATGAAATACCGTTGCTGAAAGTTTTGTGACCACTGAGACGCAACCCTGAATCCAATTATAGAGACACAAGATTAAACTTTAATATTTCATTCGACACGGACCAGCCGGATTGTCGTAGTTCTGAATTCATTATGTCTTCTCGCATCTCCACTTCTTCCACGTGGATTCGCTTCGTATGGGGAAATTTTTATATTTGTTTCGACGACCACGAACGGCCAAGGGATCAAGATTAAGAGTGCTTCTGTGTGCTTTTCGGTCGAAAGGAATCTTCGGATCGAACAACAGTGAAGGTAATAACACTTGAGATCGGATTTTCAATTTTGTTTTCGTGATGAAATTGAAAGAGGATTTGTTGGTCTTGTGGGTTTCTTGATTGTTTGAATTGCTAAGATTGACGTACGTGCGTGTTATATTGAGGAAAACTTTTGTTTTGATTTTTATTCCAGATTCATGATTGGTCAGTACGTTACGGTGCACGGGGATGTGATATCGCACGTGAACATTAGCCACGTCATGGTCGAAGACGGAGGAGAGTATTCGTGCGTAGCGGAAAACCGAGCTGGAAAGACGTCCCATTCGGCCCGGTTGAACATCTATGGTGAGTTGGTAGTATTGTTTTCGGAACAGCGATGTAATCATAATATTGACTATTGACTAAATAGGATTGCCATACATCCGACTGATACCCAAGGTGACCGCTGTAGCCGGGCAAACGTTGTACCTTAAATGCCCCGTTGCCGGCTATCCCATCGAAGAAATCCATTGGGAACGCGGAGGACGAGAACTGCCAGAAGATATGCGGCAAAAGGTTCAAACGGATGGAACGTTGGAAATCAAGGAGGTGCAAAAGTCATTAGATTCGGGCGTCTATACTTGCTGGGCACGGAACAAACAAGGCCACAGCGCCAGGCGGAGTGGTGAAGTTACTGTGATAGGTTAGTTGGTGACCGAAGTTTGGAGGCGGTCACAGATGAATGATCTTTTTTATCAAGAGCTGACAGATCGCCATGTATATGGAGGTGGGATTTAGCAGGAAAAACAGGGTATCTGAAACCTTCACCATTAATGAAATATTGCCTATCTCGGTCGACGGCATACGTCGATTGTATGTCAAATTCTGAAACAAAAAAAAGAGCGATGTACTCAATTTCAGTTGTAATTTCAAATCGAAGTCTCTTGTGTTAAGTGATGAGAGATTTGTAGATATGATTATCTTTTTATATATAAACTTGCCTTAGCCCAATTTCTGCAAGATGGATGGATTTGGTGTAATATTTTGTCGACAAATATTATACATCTAGTGATCAGAATCATATGGGCCTAACTGTGATGATCGATTATCTTTATCGATCTTCTCTTCACATTACTACAGATAAGTTAACCAATTTTCCGAAATTTTGCCAATACAGTGTATCAAAAGGTTATATTAGCTAGCAAAAGCAAGATCAAATTTACCGATAAACATTAATCCAGCCGAGTTAGCAAAAGAGAAAATTGATGAAGAGAATCGATCATCGCAGTTAGGCCCTTATGAACGCCAAACATTACCTTTCATAGCTCATGATTGAACTTATTTTTTCATCTTCACGTAATAAGAATATCATCCATCTTTTTTAAAGATTAAAGAACATAATTTACAACAACATTACTTCCAGAAATACCAGGATATTCACTAGGTGTTATAAAAGATACCATAGACTTTTCTAATTATTTATTAATCTTTTACAAATCAGAAGTACGGTATGCTTGCTAACAAACACTATTCTTCTTGAAGATCAACGCGGGGTACTTTTTTTATTTAAAATAGAAGGTTGTGTAAATTCTAGAATTGGATGACTTAATGAAACAGCACACTTTTAAGCGATAAGCTGTACGTAAATAGTTTCCTTAGGTAATTGAAGTTGATACAGTGGTTTAGAGCGTTGATTTCTAGTGATAATTACCAAAAGTGGCATTTACACCGGCAAATATTATTGTCTGGTAATTGGAGTAGCTTTAGTTTTGGTTGCATTCGAAATAAATACGTTTATGTGTTCATGGGTTTGAGAGTATGGACATCTTGATTTGTCTCGTCTTTTACCTCAAACTTCCTAGGTAATACGAAACTGCATAAACCATTTTTCGTAGACTGAAAAATTTATCAATTTTTGAACCCAACTACCTCTAGATCTGTCAGCTCACCCTAACGATCATTGATGAATTTCAGTACCCCCGAAGCTGAACCCCTTCCACTCGACTATCCTGTCACTGAACGTCGGAGACCGCGCGTCGTTAACCTGCTCCGTTATCAAAGGCGACATCCCACTCACCATCAACTGGCGAAAAGATGGCCGTCCAGTCGATCAAAACCACCGAATGTCCGTCACCCAAGTAGACCAGTACAACTCAATTCTCGTGATCGAAAACCTGTCGGCTGATCACACTGGAAACTACTCCTGCGTCGTACGCAATACCGCATCCGAAACCGAGGGCAGCCAGGCACTGCTTGTCAACGGTAACCGTGCTGTGTTAATACCAAATAATACTCACGTGTGTTTTTTTTTTTCTTTTCTTTTCTCTTTCCGTTTCCGTTGTATTCTACTACCACACTACTACCACTTCTACTACTACTACTACTAAAACTACCACTACTGTGTCTGTACGGTGGGAACAATTGTAAAAATCAAACACATTGAAAAACAAACACCTCCATCATGCTCAGTTCCTCCCAATATCGAGCCTTTCATCTTCCAAGATGGCCTGGCCGAGGGCATGCGAACGCGAACCGTCTGCGGCGTGTCCAAAGGTGATCAGCCAATGTCTTTCAAGTGGCTCAAGGACGGTGAACCGCTGTCCTCAATGCTCGGTGCCAACGTGTCCACTCTCGATCAGTATTCGTCCCTCCTCAATATTCCCTCCCTCTCAGCGGCACATTCCGGTGATTACACGTGCGTCGCCAGCAATCCAGCGGCCGAGGTGAAGTTCACTGCGTCGTTACAGGTAAAAGGTAAAGTAAAGTCATGCCACTGTTTGCAACACTGCACCCGTTCCTGCATTCGTTTCTTTCAAAATCTTACGATGCATACATATATATTTAATCTTATACGCGCAATTATAACCACCATTGTGTGTCCCTTCCCAGTTGCTTTGGCACGCAGTGGGTTTGCGGCCGATCACCAGGTAATTGTTTTCTGCACCACCTTTCTTTGTTTTCTCTTTTATTTCTCTTATGTCTCTTCTCTTTTCTTTCAATCTTCTGTTGCCTTCCCAATCTCTATCTGGAAAACCTCCTACTTAATCCACTTGTTATTAGAACTGAACAGCTCTCTGAGTTTCTCAGATCCAAGAACCAGCGGAGGCGCTTGATCTTTCTCTGTATCGTTTCCTTCCCGTTTCCTCCTTCGAAGCTCACGCCGAAACTGTCTTCTATCTATCTATTCTAAAGTCTCTTTCCTATACACCGTTATTTCTCTTTTGTTTGTGTTCGTTTTTCGTTGTTTTTGTCGGTAGAGCTCGCATGCCGTAGATGTTGGATTCAAAGTAGCCGTAGAGCATTCAAATTGCTTCCAATCTCAACTCTTTCCATTCTTCTTTCTCTTCTCCTGACAAAGCTGTGTTCTTAATCGGAATGAAAATATTTCCACAAAATTTATCTTTTAATTACCGTTTTTCCTGACGGTTCAGCCAATCAATTTGTGGCATAGCCTTATCATCCACAAATAGATGCGCGTGCTAATTACCCCTAGAAATGAATTCAACTCCCCCGTACCGACCCCATATATAATAAAGCCTTGCTTGAATATCGATATTTGACTAAAGCTTTATTGCTTCACTGGTAACTCTTTGGTTGAAATATTCAGTTCTATAAGTTGGTATTTTTGAACGTACTATTTATACTATTAAGTTCTTTGTGTTTGTAACAACTTTAGTTCGGTTTGGACAGAAGGCTTCCGCAAACCCCACTCACAAACGCTAGTGTTTTCTCTCTCTATATATAAATATACACACATTCCCTCTTTTGATTTTGATCTCGATTTTCCTCCGATATAAGTTCCTATCCCTTTTCCTTCATACCAGAACAATCAACAATACTATTACTGCTTGTGATATGATTGTCCGTATGAGCAAACTTTTATTTTTTGGAACGAACAAATCAACTTATCTGCTTTACTGCACCAATACCAATCATATCCCAATAAATATCATCCCCGCCATCGATAACAAGTAGAACCAAGTGACATGCATCTTTTAAATCACTGATTCACGCCAGAAATTGTTCCGTTGGCATTGGTAGTACAGTGTACGTGTATAAGCGAAACAAATAAAGAGTTTCAATTCAATCTAACGAACAAAGAAACAACATAAGATGCTGCAAATATCACAATTTTTTTATTTAACTATTGAAAATCGGATTAAATTTATCAAAAAATCCAAATTTTAAGCAACTGAATAGAAAAATACAGAACCGTTGAATAGTGAAGCCAAGTTCCACAGTAGTTTTAGTAACATTTCCTTTGTGACAATACTATTCTCGAAATGTATATGTCAATTGTTTGAAGAAGCTAAGTCCAATTCAAGCTACAAGACAAATATAATATTATTTGTGTTCTACATATAGGGTTAAGCTTATTTACATTCAATGGGATCGGGTATGTGTACCATGGCTATGGCTATACGTTCCTATTATGCTGTGTTTCAATTATGACCAATGGAATTCTCAAATGACATAATTGGAACACGCCATAATTGAAACGTGTAGCCATAACTGGACCTACCCCACATTAATATTGAATTTGGATGGAATAATTATATAGTGTGTAGACACTCTTCGTCATAAAGCAAAACTTGGGAAAATGTGTTTGGTGAGTCATATCGGCGTCAGTTTCTAATTTACTACTGTTGTGTTTTACAATGGAAAATGTGACCATTAGCAACATTGCAGATTACAACCATTAGATGATTAACTACCGTCCATCTGCCTTTTTTTGCATTTCGTTCGAAGTAGATGATCTTTTTCCAATTTTAAAAGATATCTAACACAGATGAGCTTTACCAAGTAAATGAATTGAAAAATCAATTTTTTTTTTAACTCTTTATTTGTTTCAATTTCAAAATAAATTACATTTCATTTTAACCTAGGTGCTCCAGTTACTGCAGTAACGTACCAGCCTTAATTGTTATGATATATATATATAAGTGTTTTTACATTGTTCTTGTCTTGGCAATTCAGTATTTTAAACAGGTTTTTTAACCTGCATGTCAGTATAACAATTGATATCTTAAAACTAAAAACTAAAACTAAATCTTATTTAAGTATAAAGGGAATTAATCGTTGCAATTGAGGATTGCAACGATTTTTGCCTGAAATTATTAATTATTTTGTTGGACATTTGTTCTAAAGTCTCAACATTCGAAATTCTATGTACCTCGGTAGTACTGTACCAGGGAGACAACTTCAAAATCATTTTCAGAACTTTGTTCTGAATCCTTTGAAGTGCTTTTTTCCTGGTAGTGCAACAACAAGACCATATTGGCACAGCGTAAAGCATGGCCGGTCTAAAAACTTGTTTAAATATTAGAAGTTTATTCGTCAGGCAAACTTTGGATTTCCTGTTTATAAGAGGATACAAACATTTAATATATTTGTTACATTTAGCTTGAATGCCCTCAATGTGATCTTTAAAAGTTAATTTTTGGTCAAGTATTAATCCAAGATATTTCACTTGGTTTGACCAGGAAATTGGAACTCCGTTCATAGTGACTATGTGACTACTACTAGGTTTCAAAAACGAAGCTCTAGGCTTATGTGGAAATATTATAAGTTGAGTTTTGGAAGCGTTGGGAGAAATCTTCCATTTTTGTAAATAAGAGGAGAAAATATCTAAACTTTTCTGCAGTCTGCTGCAAATAACACGAAGACTTCTTCCTTTAGCGGAAATGCCTGTGTCATCAGCGAACAAAGATTTGTGGCAACCCTGAGGCAAATCAGGGAGGTCCGAAGTGAAAATGTTATACAATATAGGCCCAAGATTGCTACCCTGAGGAACTCCTGCTCTAACAGGTAGTCGATTAGATTTGGAATTTTGATAATTTACCTGCAGAGTTCTGTCAGTTAAATAATTTTGAACTAATTTCATAATATAAAGTGGAAAATTAAACTTTTTCAATTTAGCAATCAAACCTTCATGCCAAACACTGTCGAATGCTTTTTCTATGTCTAGAAGAGCAACTCCAGTTGAGTGGCCTTCAGATTTGTTTGAACGAATTAAATTGGTAACTCTTAAAAGTTGATGAGTAGTTGAATGCCCATGGCGAAATCCAAACTGCTCATCTGCAAAAATTGAGTTCGTATTGATGTGAAGCATCATTCTATTCAAAATTATCTTTTCAAAAAGTTTACTTATTGAAGAAAGCAAACTTATTGGGCGGTAGCTAGAAGCTTCAGCTGGATTTTTATCCGGCTTCAAAATTGGAACAACTTTTGCATTTTTCCATTTATCAGGAAAGTATGCCAAATGGAAACATCTGTTAAATAATTTTACCAAGAAAGACAAGGTACTCTCTGGGAGTTTTTTGATGAGGATATAGAAAATTCCATCATCACCTAGAGCTTTCATATTTTGAAACTTTTTAGCTATAGACCTTACTTCGTCCAAATCAGTCCCCCAGGAATCATCAAAAATATTTTCCCGAGAGAAAATATTCAGAAAATCCCGAGCAACCTGATTCTCAATAGGACTAGTAAGACCCAAACTGAAATTATGGGAACTCTCGAATTGCTTAGCAAGTTTCTGAGCTTTTTCCAAGTTTGTAATCAAAATTTTACCACCTTCTTTAAGCGCTGGAATAGGCTTTTGAGGTTTTTTCAAAATTTTTGTGAGTTTCCAAAAGGGTTTGGAACTCGGGTCTAATTTAGAAATATTATTTTCAAAAGTTTTGTTCCTCAGGGCAGAGAATCGCTTTTTAATTTGTTTTTGCAAATCCCGCCAGATAACCTTCATGGCAGGATCGCGTGTTCTTTGATATTGTCTCCTACGGACATTTTTAAGACGGATCAAGAGCTGAAGATCGTCGTCTATTATAATTGAATCGAATTTTAGCTCGCATTTTGGTACTGAGGCAGCTCTTGCTGCAACTATAGAAGTAGTCAGAGATTCAAGAGCATAATTAATTTCATCTTTGGTTTGCAAAGGAATGTTTGGATCGAAGTTATATTCCATAAATGTTCGATACTGCTCCCAATCAGCCCTATGGTAATTGAAAATAGAACTGTTGGGATTACAAATTATTTCTTGGGATATTTCAAAAGTTACTGGAAGGTGATCAGAACCGAAGTCAGCATGGGTAACCAATTGGCTACAAAGTTGACATGAATCAGTTAAGACCAAATCAGTAGTTGAGGGATTTCTTGCAGAAGAAAAGCATGTTGGGCTGTTTGGATATTGAATAGTGTAATAACCTGCAGAACAATCATCAAACAGAATATAACCATTGGAATTGCTTTGAGCATTATTCCATGAGCGGTGTTTTGCATTAAAATCACCAATAATGAAGAATTTAGACCTATGACGGGTAAGTTTCTGGAGGTCACCCTTGAGAAAATTCTTTTTCTGGCCTACGCATTGGAACGGCAAATAGGCAGCTATAAACGTAAGTTGTCCAAATTTTGTTTCAACAGAAACTCCCAAAGTTTCAAAAACTTTGGTTTCAAATGAAGAAAAAATTTTATGTTTGATTCGTCTATGAATAATGATGGCAACGCCACCACAGGGTCCATCAAGACGATCATTTCTATAAATCAAGTAATTTGCGTCCTTCTTAACCTTATGGTCAGGTTTAAGGAACGTTTCAGTTATAACGGCAATATGCACGTTATGAACTCTCAAAAAGGTAAATAGCTCGTCTTCATTATCTTTAAGAGATCGAGCATTCCAATTTACAATATTTAATGCTTTAAAATCCATTACTGAATTTTAAAGCCATGACAATATTATTTGCAAATTTTAC